CTCCAGACCGTCGCGTTAGCCACTAGACCAGCTAGCCACAATAAGATTCGTCCAACTAGGTATATTTCTACACCATAGGAAGGTTAGCATAGGCACCACTGTGACCACAAATGCAAGTTTTTACAGACGAATCTCCAGCTAGCGTGGCCGTGACGAACTCTAGCTCAAGTCCCCTCACTGCCGTCAACATGACTTATTGTGGCTAGCTGGTCTAGTGGCCCGGTGGCCTGGTGGCTAAAGCTCCCGCTTCACACACGGAGGGCCCGGGTTCGATTCCCGGCGGGTGGAAACATTTCGACACGTTTCCTTACACCTGTTGTCCTGTTCACCTAGCAGCAAATAGGTACCTGGGTGTTAGTCGACTGGTGTGGGTCGCATCCTGGGGGACAAGATTAAGGACCCCAATGGAAATAAGTTAGACAGTCCTCGATGACGCACTGACTTTCTTGGGTTATCCTGGGTGGCTAACCCTCCGGGGTTAAAAATCCGAACGAAATCTTATCTTATCTTAACGCGACGGTCTGGAGTTTTGAGACTCTGACCGCGCGTTCAATCCCGGCCGGGGTATGGTTTGTTTGCAATCGTGTCGTTACGATTTCGTAAGTCATGTTCGCGAGTTTTCCTACTCCTGAGCCGGCTTTATCAAGATCTACACTAAGAAACTGTCATAACGGCTTGTTCTGCCTTACTGGCTTCATACACATCATGCCTGTCGCAATTAAGCCAATACTTCCATATATTAATTATCAATTATACGAGTACAACTACATCTTTATACGAATATAAACATTTTGCAGTATTCCATGCTACTGAAAACAAGAATTTGCTTTAGTGACGCATTAACCAAAACAGTTTTGCGAGAAATATTTATACAACATAGCTGCAAATCCTACACAATTTTTAAACCATTCAAAAACCCTTTTGTGACTTCAAGAATCTCATATCTGGAGGTTATTCCGGGGATCAACGTCCCCGCGGCCCGGTCCATGACCAGGCCTCCCGATGGATCAGGGCCTGATCAACTAGGCTGTTACTGCTGGCCGCACGCAGTCCAACGTACGAGCCACAGCCCGGCTGATCCGGCACTGACTTTAGGTATCTGTCCAGCTCTCTCTTGAAGGCAGCCAGAGGTTTATTGGCAATTCCCCTAATGCTTGATGGGAGGCTGTTGAACAGTTTTGGGCCCCGGACACTTATGGTGTTTTCTCTTAGCGTACCAATGGCGCCCCTACTTTTTATTGGCGGCATTTTGCATCGCCTGCCCAGTCTTTTACTTTCGTAGGGAGTGATTTCTGTGTGCAGATTTGGGACCATTCCTTCCAAGATTTTCCAAGTGTAAGTTATGATATATCTCTCCCTCCTGCGTTCCAACGAGTACAAGTCAAGTGCTTCCAAGCGTTCCCAGTAGTCAAGGTGCTTGACAGAACTTATACGTGCAGTAAAGGATCTCTGTACACTCTCTAGATCTGCGATTTCACCTGCTTTGTATGGAGATGTTAATGTACAGCAGTATTCCAGCCTAGAGAGAACAAGTGATTTGAAAAGGATCATCATGGGCTTGGCATCTCTCGTTTTGAAAGTTCTCATTATCCATCCTATCATTTTCTTTGCACGTGCGATCGTGGCACTGTTGTGATCCTTGAAAGTGAGATCCTCCGACATTACTACTCCCAGGTCCCTTACATTATTTTTCCGCTTAGGACCTTTCCTTTATTCATATTGCATCTGCCACTAAGCACACCAATTTTATCCAAGTCATCTAGCGGCTCCCTAAAATTCCCCACGAGTTTCTCGCCCTGTTTTTGTGTCGTCAGGGGATTTACGTCGTTACTGTATTCCCTCATCCATATATCTAACCTGAGAATCCAGACTAATTAACATTTTTTTCGACATTTAAATACAAGTTTTATTTGCAAAATTCTGCTCCAATTTGTTAGCTCATAGCCGGAACTTTTCCAATAAAATGTCCTAGTGTTTAAATATTGTATCTTTTTCAAACCTGTCACAATGACATACTAAGCAACTTGAGGGGTCGGGGGTAACCCCATGCCTTTAGTAGATAGGCATAGATTATTATAATCATGGGGAAGCACTAAACCTGTAGGATTATAGAGCGCATGTGGGAGAGGATGGACGGTATCCAGGTTCAATTAGGTAACTGGAGCACAGATCCAATTCCCTAGATCAAGAGCCCCTTACCAGCGTCAAGGAACCTCCCTCGAGGGGAGATGGGCATAGATATACATTCAATGTACGCCTTAACGAGAAGAGTAGGAGCTTCCAATATGCCCAGATTGTCACAAGGGCATGCAAGGCTTATCCAATCTCCCACTGGTGGCCTGTGGCCTGGTGGGAAAAGCTCTCGCTTCACACAGAGTCCGGGTTCTATTCGCGGCTAGGGTAGAAACATTGAGCGTGTTTCCTTACACCGGTTGTCTATGTTCACCCATCATTAAAGTGGGTACCTGGGTGTTAGTTGACTGGTGTGGGTCACATCCCGGGACAAAATTTACCTAATTTGCCTTAAATGCTCTGCATACCAAGCGGCTTTCTTAATAGTAGTATGTCACTAATGTCAGCTAGGCCTAGAGTTTACCTGGAGAGAGTTCCGGGGGTCAACGCCCCCGCGGCCCGGTCTGTGACCAGGCCTCCTGGTGGATCAGAGCCTGATCAACCAGGCTGTTGCTGCTGGCTGCACGCAAACCAACGTACGAGCCACAGCCCGGCTGGTCAGGAACCGACTTTAGGTGCTTGTCCAGTGCCAGCTTGAAGACTGCCAGGGGTCTGTTGGTAATCCCCCTTATGTATGCTGGGAGGCAGTTGAACAGTCTCTGGCCCCTGACACTTATTGTATGGTCTCTTATTAACGTGCTAGTGACACCCCTGCTTTTCATTGGGGGGATGTTGCATCGTCTGCCAAGTCTTTTGCTTTCGTAGTGAGTGATTTTCGTGTGCAAGTTCGGTACTAGTCCCTCTAGGATTTTCCAGGTGTATATAATCATGTATCTCTCCCGCCTGCGTTCCAGGGAATACAGGTTTAGGAACCTCAAGCGCTCCCAGTAATTTAGGCGTATCTCCGTTATGTGCGCCGTGAAGGTTCTCTGTACATTTTCTAAGTCAGCAATTTCACCTGCCTTGAAAGGTGCTGTTAGTGTGCAGCAATATTCCAGCCTGGATAGAACAAGTGACCTGAAGAGTGTCATCATGGGCTTGGCCTCCCTAGTTTTGAAGGTTCTCATTATCCATCCTGTCATTTTTCTAGCAGATGCGATTGATACAATGTTATGGTCCTTGAAGGCGAGATCCTCCGACATGATCACTCCCAGGTCTTTGACGTTGGTGTTTCGCTCTATTTTGTGGCCTGTGTACATGTACTTTTTGAAATTATTATCATGTACTGTATATAGTTGTGACTAAGCGCTACAAGTTCCCAGATAGAAAGGCACCGTTAAGCGGACTACCCAGATTATCTGTTCGTCTGCCTCTAATATCAAGAGGTAATTTTGAAACACTGCTTACAACAGCTCCCTGCACATGCATGCCTACATATGATTTATCTGCCAGTTTATTACTAACTTCGACTATGATGTATTACTAAGCTTCCATTACTAGCAATTATTGGTAGAACTTTTAATAAATGAAGGCTGTGTAAATTAGTTCAACAATATATATATTTTTTTCGGTTAGAGCAGACATTAATACAAACTGAATCAACAAGGTATAAACCAGAAGTTGGCACGTTGCCTACTCGTGATGCAACGTTGTATTAGCAATGTAAAATGTCATTCTCCTATTTAAATGTTCACCTTATGTGCTGCTTAACTTTACCCTTGAACTGGGTGATACTACTATTGGCTGACATGGTTAAACAAGTTAATATAATTTATAGCCTACAAAAGTTTTTTATTTACATTTACTTCCTTGCATATTTAATGAATCTGAATTATATGAATTTAACAAAATTCTGGCTTTGTAGAAGTTTCTCGGTGATTTATAACTATTTGATTTACTTCCATGAGCACATTATCATTCCATAGATTCCCAAGGAGAAAGTCGAGGACTTTGTTTTTAATCGTTTATAATATAGTCCAGAACACTGGTGCACCAGCATGAGGACAGATGTCAAGTAGTCAAAAGGACGCAGTGATGGTCCTGTTCACCTAGCAGCAAATAGGTACCTGGGTGTTAGTCGACTGGTGTGGGTGGTATCCTGGGGGACAAGATTAAGGACCCCAATGGAAATAAGTTTGACAGTCCTCGATAACGCACTGACTTTCTTGGGTTATCCTGGGTGGCTAACCCTCCGGGGTTAAAAATCCGAACGAAATCTTATCTTATGGTGCATATTGAGCAAGACCGTGGATAAAACAAGTAAAACCAAGGTCTTACTACCAACACCTGCAATGGGTGAAGTTGGCCAGTTACACACCATTACGAACACCTTCCAGTTACCCCACTTCATTTTTTTCACAATAAAAGGCCTTCGGAAGATTCGAAATTTATGTTCACATTAAATATTGCTTAATCACCTATTACACTTAAAAAAAAAAAGCAATTATAAACATGGGGGGAGCACTAAAGTGTAAAGATCACGAAACCAGGGGAATGAGAGCTCCCTCTGAATGTTTATACTTTCCGTCAGTAAGTAATGATTAAACTAGTGCAAATAGATTGAATAAAGTTGTCGTTATCTGCAGAAAATTATAGTTTGATTTAAGATTCTGAGATGAGCATCAATCTGAAAGAATAAATTAGTTGCTGAAATCTCAACTCTGGGGTAATCGGCATCACTTGATTTATCAATTCACTAAGCATTAATAACGACACAGAACTAAACGAGTGTGTATATACACATGTTCATTGAGGGAAGTGAATATGTGCACATTTGTGTTTCTTGGCAGACATACAGCGTGTGCGGTAGGCAGGTGTAAACCACAATGTGGTGAGGTTATGGCTGCGTACCAGACCTCCACACATACAACAGCTGCTGCTATTCTTACTGCTTGTTGTAGCTGGCTGGGGTGGACACAGTACTGGAGGAGACTGCTGCAGAAGTTCTCAAGTAACTCATGAATATGGCAGCCACTGCTACAAACACGACACAGTGCCGCCAGCAGCCACCACAAGCTACACACCCCAACACTAACACTCCCTGCACTACACTACCCGAGTCTCGACGTTGCCACCACCTCCTCACTCCTTCCCAACACACCCCCAAACAATATCCCCCCTCTCACCAACCCCTCCCTAACACACTCAGTCTAGTCCCCCTCCCTTCCTATCCAGCACAATCCCTCCTCCCTACCCAACACCACCACTACAACCATCCCCACATACTGAACTGCCACTTCTTTCCACACGCTAACATCAAATTATTCCCTTACTCACTAGCTATTTAACATTTGCTCTAGTTTTACTATGCCATGAGTGTTGTAACTACCAGGTAATTTGGAGTGGCAGTGCCACGGCGGGTGGCAAGAGTCCAGTGGTGAAGACGAATAATAACTAAGTGGTATCTAGCACCTATGTACCCAGAATTCTTGACGTAGTGGGCTTAGCCCTCCACTCATTCATTCCAAACCACCGTCCTCTAGTCAACATCACATCACTATTTTGTGGAAGCGCAAACCCCGTAGGATATCAAATGAATGCCTGGGGAATGGGAGGCATTCAGGTTTGATCCAAGGAAAGGGCGGATAAGTCTACTCGGATCAAGAGTTCCTCACCAAACTACATACACAGAACAATACACGCAAATATAAACCCTCCACTCAAACTTCTCCTCACCAACCTAAACAGGACACATGGCCACAACACAAGACACAGATCTCTTTTTGATATACCTCGTGTCCATATCACACTGTGTAAAAACTCTATGCACATAAAGGGCCCCAAAATATGGAATTCATTACCAGAAGATATTAAAGTAACCCAGTCTGAAAATCAATTTAAGACTTCTCAAAAGCCACTTAATCACCCTAGACTAAACGCTAAATACTCAGTACACACATACTCACTTATGTACTCCAACATCATAACTTCAACAATCACTTTGAATCTTTTATCCATTGTTGACAGGAATATAATTCAATCATTGTTTTCACAAAAAACATTTTTGAATATATGAACATATCTTTTGTCTTATGCAAATTTTGATTCACTTATAATTAATAATCTACTGTACAACTATGGAATAATTACTGTCCTTCTGTACAACTATGTTATAATCCTTAGTGTTAAGTAGTCTGTAAGCCAATAATGTTAAGTTGGCCCATAATGCTAGGCGTAATAGAGGCTGTCTTTGCATTGCAACCCACTATTGTAAATACAAAATCCCAATGTAATGTTTGCAAAGACATTAAATAAATAAATAAATAAACCATGGATAGGCTGTACAGAGAAATAAGTTCCCAAGTAATGTAAGGAAGCGCTAAACCCATGTCATACATTGCATGGGAAATGCGAAGCAATTAAGTTCGATCCAAGGGAGAGGATAAAATACTAAACCGAGTAACTTCATAACCACCTATTATAGTACTAATAAATGCATTATTTTGTTTCAACTTATCCCCCCTAAGAATTATTTCTAATTTCATTGTGATCCTACTGAACCTCTTAAGGTATACTAATGAGTTGCCTTCCAAGAGGTGAAACGTTCTCTCGCACCCTTATATGAAAAGGTAATCTAAGTGGCTTGCCAAGTGGAGAGTTAGACTCTGCACTTGTCTGGGTAAGTGGTTAATTGATTGTTCAAGTTAACAATTAAATAAATGGAAAATTATAAGTGGCACTGCCAGGCGCAATTAAAAAGCTCAGTCCTTATCCCTGGTATGACAAGGGAAGGAAAGGTCCAGTTCTGTGGATCACATCATAGTAACTTCCATAAAGGTTTAACAAGTCCAGCCCTGCTGGAATGACATTTCTGAAGCTCAGGCTGACATATTTCATGACATGATATACGAAACTCATCTTGTGATAGAATATAACAGAGAAACGGCTAGCTTTCATTCCCTCTATAAAACTATCATATATAGTAAGGTAGCCACTCACTGTTTCAGTCATATATAGTAGACTATTAGCACAGTGTTCATGTACATACCAACACCGTGTAGTTGTAATGTAGCACAGGGTACATATACAAGCGCATATCATGTACATTGAGTTCATTTTTACTCTTAATTTTTGGGGGACTGAAGTACAGGTCTTGCAATCGACAAAATTCAAATCTACTGTGTTTTTAAATAAAAAAAATCAAATATATCTACTTATTCATCACCTGAGGCTTAAACTGGAGTTCCATGTGTGTGTGTGTGAGCTGCGACACTCCATAGCTTGCATGTTTGTGGAAGCTACAGTAGACATGTTTGTGGAAGCTACAGTAGACATGTTTGTGGAAGCTACAGTAGGCATGCTTGTGGAAGCCACAGTAGGCATGTTTGTGGAAGCTACAGTAGACATGTTTGTGGAAGCTACAGTAGACATGTTTGTGGAAGCTACAATACACATGTTTGTGGAAGCTACAGTAGGCATGCTTGTGGAAGCCACAGTAGACATGTTTGTGGAAGCTACAGTAGACATGTTTGTGGAAGCTACAGTAGACATGTTTGTGGAAGCTACAGTAGACATGTTTGTGGAAGCTACAGTAGACATGTTTGTGGAAGCTACAGTAGGCATGCTTGTGGAAGCCACAGTTAGACATGTTTTGTGAAGCTACAGTAGACATGTTTGTGGAAGCTACAGTAGGCATGTTTGTGGAAGCCACAGTAGACATGTTTGTGGAAGCTACAGTAGACATGTTTGTGGAAGCTACAGTAGACATGTTTGTGGAAGCTACAGTAGGCATGTTTGTGTAAGCCACAGTAGGCATGTTTGTGGAAGCTACAGTAGGCATGTTTGTGGAAGCTACAGTAGGCATGTTTGTGGAAGCCACAGTAGGCATGTTTGTGGAAGCTACAGTAGGCATGTTTGTGGAAGCCACAGTAGGCATGTTTGTGGAAGCTACAGTAGACATGTTTGTGGAAGCTACAGTAGGCATGTTTGTGGAAGCTACAGTAGACATGTTTGTGGAAGCTACAGTAGACATGTTTGTGGAAGCTACAGTAGACATGTTTGTGGAAGCTACAGTAGGCATGTTTGTGGAAGCCACAGTAGGCATGTTTGTGGAAGCTACAGTAGGCATGTTTGTGGAAGCCACAGTAGGCATGTTTGTGGAAGCTACAGTAGGCATGTTTGTGGAAGCTACAGTAGGCATGTTTATGGAAGCTACAGTAGGCATGTTTGTGGAAGCTACAGTAGACATGTTTGTGTAAGCCACAGTAGGCATGTTTGTGTAAGCCACAGTAGGCATGTTTGTGGAAGCCACAGTAGGCATGTTTGTGGAAGCTACAGTAGGCATGTTTGTGTAAGCCACAGTAGGCATGTTTGTGGAAGCTACAGTAGGCATGTTTGTGTAAGCCACAGTAGGCATGTTTGTGTAAGCCACAGTAGGCATGTTTGTGGAAGCTACAGTAGGCATGTTTGTGGAAGCTACAGTAGGCATATTTGTGTAAGCCACAGCAGGCATGTTTGTGGAAGCTACAGTAGGCATGTTTGTGGAAGCTACAGTAGGCATGTTTGTGGAAGCACAGTAGGCATATTGTGGAAGGTACAGTAGACATGTTTGTGTAAGCCACAGTAGGGATGTTTGTGGAAGCTACAGTAGACATGTTTGTGTAAGCCACAGTAGGCATATTTGTGTAAGCCACAGTAGGCATGTTTGTGTAAGCCACAGTAGGCATGTTTGTGGAAGCTACAGTAGGCATATTTGTGGAAGCTACAGTAGGCATGTTTGTGTAAGCCACAGTAGGCATGTTTGTGTAAGCCACATTAGGCATGTTTGTGTAAGCCACAGTAGGCATGTTTGTGGAAGCTACAGTAGGCATGTTTGTGTAAGCCACAGTAGGCATGTTTGTGTAAGCCACAGTAGGCATGTTTGTGGAAGCTACAGTAGGCATGTTTGTGGAAGCTACAGTAGGCATATTTGTGTAAGCCACAGCAGGCATGTTTGTGGAAGCTACAGTAGGCATGTTTGTGGAAGCTACAGTAGGCATGTTTGTGGAAGCCACAGTAGGCATATTTGTGGAAGGTACAGTAGACATGTTTGTGTAAGCCACAGTAGGGATGTTTGTGGAAGCTACAGTAGACATGTTTGTGTAAGCCACAGTAGGCATATTTGTGTAAGCCACAGTAGGCATGTTTGTATAAGCCACAGTAGGCATGTTTGTGGAAGCTACAGTAGGCATATTTGTGGAAGCTACAGTAGGCATGTTTGTGTAAGCCACAGTAGGCATGTTTGTGTAAGCCACATTAGGCATGTTTGTGTAAGCCACAGTAGGCATGTTTGTGGAAGCCACAGTAGGCATGTTTGTGGAAGCTACAGTAGGCATGTTTGTGTAAGCCACAGTAGGCATGTTTGTGGAAGCTACAGTAGGCATGTTTGTGGAAGCTACAGTAGGCATGTTTGTGTAAGCCACAGTAGGCATGTTTGTGGAAGCTACAGTAGGCATGTTTGTGTAAGCCACAGTAGGCATGTTTGTGTAAGCCACAGTAGGCATGTTTGTGGAAGCCACAGTAGACATGTTTGTGTAAGCCACAGTAGGCATGTTTGTGGAAGCCACAGTAGACATGTTTGTGGAAGCCACAGTAGGCATGTTTGTGGAAGCTACAGTAGGCATGTTTGTGGAAGCTACAGTAGGCATGTTTGTGGAAGCTACAGTAGGCATGTTTGTGGAAGCTACAGTAGGCATGTTTGTGGAAGCTACAGTAGGCATGATTGTGGAAGCTACAGTAGGCATGTTTGTGGAAGCTACAGTAGGCATGATTGTGGAAGCTACAGTAGGCATGTTTGTTGAAGCCACAGTAGGCATATTTGTGGAAGCTACAGTAGGCATGCTTGTGGAAGCTACAGTAGGCATGTTTGTGGAAGCTACAGTTTACCTGGAGTTTACCTGGAGAGAGTTTCGGGGGTCAACGCCCCCGCGGCCCGGTCTGTGACCAGGCCTCCTGGTGGATCAGCGCCTGATCAACCAGGCTGTTGCTGCTGGCTGCACGCAAACCAACGTACGAGCCACAGCCCGGCTGATCAGGAACTGCCTTTAGGTGCTTGTCCAGTGCCAGCTTGAAGACTGCCAGGGGTCTGTTGGTA